CCCCGCCCCCAGCAGCGCGCGGCTGCCCAGCAGCGCCGGAGCTTCCTCAACGCCCACCACCGCTCGGGCGCGCAGGTATTCCCCGAGCCCCCCGAGTCCGAGTCCGACCACGAGCACGAGCACGAGCACGAGGAGGCAGACCTGGAGCTGTCCCTCCCCGAGTGCCTGGAGTACCAGGAATCTTTCGACTACGAGACCGAGACCGAGACCGAGTCCGAAATCGAGTCTGAGACCGATTTCGAGACCGACCCCGAACCCGAGACCGCCCCCACCACCGAGCCGGAGACCGAGCCAGAAGAGGAGCGCGGCCCGGTGGCGCCCAAGAACCCCCACTCCGGCCAGTCCCTCGCCCAGCGCCTGCACGCTCTGAAGTTGCAAAGCCCCCACACCTCCCCTAGTCGCGCACAGCCAGGCATTCACGAGCGCCGGGGCCCCAGGCAGGGGGAGGAGCCCGAGCCCAAGGACAAGGACCCCAGGGACCCCGAAGAGTCTGAAGAGCCCAGGGAGGAGAAGCAGCAGCGCCGCTGCAAGCCGAAGAAGCCCACTCGCCGCGACCCGTCCCCCGAGTCCCCTTCCAAAAGGGGACCCATCCCCATCCGGCGTCACTAATGGAGGACACCGTCCAGATTCTCCTCGTTTTCATGGATTCAGGTTAGTCGCCCACCATTAAGCCGGGGCGCTCGGGTCGTGCGGAAGCAGAGGGAGGACGGGGGACGAGCAACGGCAGGCTCCGGGGGGCCAGGGTGGGCTCGGGGAGCCAGCCTGGGGGTCTCCCGAGTCTCCCCAGGTCCCTGAGAGCCCCGTTGCCCAGAGGCTTATTGGACGGCAAGGCGCGAGGAGCGCCGGGCTGGAGACAAGCTGGTCTCCAGCTGGCGCCTAGGTTTGGGGCGGAACACCGAGCACGCCCAGGTTTTGAGCTGCACGTACAAACCGCACTGGTAAGTCACTTGTTTTAAAGGCTTCTTTTCCTCCTAGAAAGACTAGTCTCAAACGGGTTGGCCTTGGCGGGCGCCCAAAATGTGGTTGGGAAGCGCGCGCCAACTTCCAGGCTGGGAGAGCAGCCGGCTGTAGCGACACTGTTGCAACGTGGGGAAAGTAATCCGACAGGGATTGGGCGAGACCTCCGGAGGCTGCCGGCTCCAGGCGAAGCTCAAGCGCGCGTTTAAAAGGCTCGGAGCCTGGAGCCAGGTCCGGCCACGGCCAATTCGGAGCCGGGGGAGCTCGGCACCAGTGTCCCCAGCTGCTGCGCGCCAGTCTGGGCCGCCAAGGCCCGCCTCCTGAAGCTCGCCCGCCCAACCCGCCTCCAGACGCTCGCCCGGCCAGACTGCCGCAAAAGAGCGTGCGCACCTGCCCGCGCGCCCCAGAACCGACCTCTCCACGCTGGCCGGAGGCTCCCTGCAAGTCACCAGTACTTGGAGGGCAGGCAGAGGAGGTACGGGGGCTTTGGGGTTCCCCCACAGGCACCAGGGTTGCAGCACGGGCTTGGTCACGTCAGCGCATCGCCGACCTTGTGGCGCAGCTGGTCAGGCGGCAGGGCTGGGTAGAAGCTTGCTTGGCCGGAGAGGTCTGGGCGGTCTGCGCAAGGACCTGGAGGCGGAAGAAAAAGGGTAGGACAACCTCGAGGTGGTCGCGAGCGGAAAGGTAAAGCGGGACAAGGCAGGCGCGCGAGAGGGGGTCGCGCCTATCATCACGGCACTGCACCGGGCGTCCCCAAAGGGCGCAGGCACCCGCCGAGCTGGGGAAAGGGACTGGACCTTGCACCGGTCCTTGGGCAAACGGTCCAGCGGGCGGGCCGGCGGCTCCGGCAGCCTGGCGAAGGGGGAGGCACGCTCCGGCCATTTTCAGCCCAGCGGGCTAAGTTTGGAGTCTGGCGGGAGGGGAGCTGGGAGCCCGAGCAGGAGATCGACCCACCCGCGCCCGCCGATCAGGATGGAAGAGGCTGATAAGGGAAATGAGGTTTAAAATCTCACCCGATTTGGAAATTGATCCCCTACATATTTTTTAATGCCTGCGCGCGTCTCGTTTTGCGCTGGTCTGAGTTATTCTGATGCGACTGATGGGGGGAGAAGTTTTTTTCGGCTTGAAATGAAAGACGAAGATGATCGGTGGTTTTTAAACTAAGGGAAGGACGGTGCTAGAAGGAAAATACGTTAAATTCTCCTTCCTAGGAAGGCGTGCGGTGCCCTGGAACTTAGTTTCCCCTGGGCTGCGTGGTGACTAACGGTGGCCAGGTGCCTTGGCCATCTGGAGGAGACACCCACGGCACTTGGGGAACCAGGGCTTCCCTCCCTGCGTGTCAAGGTGGGCAGTCTGGAGGCTGAGGCTCTGCAAAGGGTAGGCATGCCGGGTTTGGGCCTGAAGCTGCCTAAGTGAAACGGAGCTGCCGAGGTGGAAATTCCTACTAGACAAGGCAGTGCCGGTCCTCCCCCTCCGTGCCATTAAGCGTTCTGGTTTTCCTCTGGTAACACCTTGGGAGTCTGAGTGCACAGAGCAGGTCTCTAGTGAGCAGAGATGTCCGGTTGGATTTCGGGAAGTGTTTCTCAGCATGGGCACTGTCTCCACAGACTGGGCAGGCTGAGGGACCCGGCTGGCCCCTCAGAGTTAGGGTTCCCCTCGGAGAAATGAGCAGCACGCTTGCTCTGGAAGGAATGGACACGTTTTAAGAGTCCTCGGTGCCTAGCCGAGACTCGAGACTCGAAGTCTGGCTTGTTTCTGAGCGGAAGGCTGTGCATGGAAGGCGAGCTTCCTTAACTGTAAGCAGTGCATCCCGTTCATATATCTGGGGGGACCTCCGAGGTCCCCGATCAAGGAACACACAAATAGCTGGCTGAAAGACAGCTTCCCATCAACTCCTGAGTCAAATCAGAAGATATACAGGCCACAACCCAACTGTGAAAACCTGTTATTCCCAGAACACACCCCTCCCCCACAGCTCCCCTCCCCCACTTCCTCCTCCCACCCAGATTCCAGAAGGAAAAGCCACTCATCAGGTACCACACGCAGCCACGAGGAATACACCACATGGCGGTGCCACCACCCACCCCAAGGAAAGACATTTTTGCTATCCAGACTTTTCAGACCCTCTTTCTGCCCTAGGCCTGGTGCTCAGCTGCCGTCCCTTCCGGGAGACATTTCTAGCAAGTCCTCTGAGCATTCCCAGCTCACTAGTCTCCAGCCGGCCCTTTGTCTCTCCCTGTGAGCTGGGGTTAGCATCTGAATGGGCTGGCTTGCCCTTTCACGTGGAGGAGGGGGTCTGTTGGGTGAGGATATATTCTCAAAAAAAAAAAAAAGGCAGAGCTTATAGACTAAATGAGCCCCAGTGCACAGGGAGGCGAGGAGAGTAAAGCTGGTTAGATACGGTGTGCCCCAGTATGTAGGATTTCTCCTTTGCTACATGAATCATTGGCTTAATGGAAATTTGCTTTGGGAGGGATGAAGGTGCTCTTGGGTGTTATTTTTTTGAGTTGGACAATGATGTAGCAAAGCTAAAATGCTCTGGGCTACAGCGACGCAGGTTTACACTCAAGTTTGGCAAACACAACTTTCTCTCTGTTTATCGGAACTGGGAATTTTAGAGTCTGCAATTGTGTTAAGACGCGTCTAGCGCACTAGATGCTTTCCCTGGAATTGCCTACAGCCCCTTCCTGCCTAGCCTTCATTTCTAGCAGCTGTGATACTCGGCTTCAGGAGGCCGAGAGCTGGGACTTCAGTGTTGGTAAGAATGAAGGTCTTTTATTTATTTATTTTTAAAAATCATGCACGGATTGAACTTAATTTATCTGTTATCACTGCTCTTCAAGAAGGAAACTGTTAAGAGAAAACTGAGCAGAAGCAGGGCATGGGGAAGGCACGTCTGAACAGGATGGTGACCTACGACAAAAAGACCAAAGCATTAAAGCCAAGTTCGGCTTTCAGGGCCAGTGAGGGGCCGGCTGGGGAGGAGTAGGCCAGACTCTCAGATTGCACCTTTGGTCCCACATTCCAGAAGGGATGGAGGCCCTTGTCCAGCTGGGGGGTTCTGACATTAACGACTACATTTCCTAACGTCTTGATGCCCTGGACATAGACAGCAGGCCTGAGACACCAGTCCCTCCCAGCCCTGCACCTGCCAGTGCAGCCCCGTCACACCCAGGACCCTCTGCCTCAGTCTCTTCCAACGGAAGGAGCTGAGTGATGTCCCTGTTAGCCTGCTCAGTTCCAAATGTCTGCAGGCTGGTGAGTTTCAGAAGCTTGGAGTTGCCCAAATCGACTCTGTCAACAATTTTAACACTAAGGAACTCCAAAAAATTTTGTGAGTTGGTCAAATAAAAAAATACCTGCTGTGAAGAAATATTGGTTTGTGTCGGGGCTGATGTCAGTTTTGTCAAATGTGCTTTTCAGCTGGTGGCAAACATGGTTTGAGGAGTGCAGGTTAGAGAGTCTCACTGTGTCCTGTCCCTAAACAGGGAAGACTGGCCACCCTTGAGAGCAGAAATTTAGTGTTGTGTGTCCGTCTCCCCACTCTCCCACCCTGACCTCAGTGTCTGAAGACAAGCCTCTCGGGGCAGTCTCCTGCCTGCACAGAGGTAGACCTGCTCAGCTAGGGGACAACAGGCCAGAACGGCCAGCAGGGTTAGGAGCCTGATGAGGCGGAACTGGGAAGATGGCTTGCAAAGCTGCAGCTATTAAGGTAAACCAGTTTCTCCCCACTTTTTTTGTCTTTTTTATTTTTTATTTTTTCATTTTCACCGGGCCCCAGGAGCCTTTTCAGACATGTTTTTCTTAGTTGCCCCCAATGAACATTTCAATGCCAGACATGTATGGCAGACACAGAGGCTTAGTTTATACACAGCTGGGGCTTTCGTAGCCAGGGACTGTCTTACACTCACAGCAAATGCACAGGATAACAAGGCAATTTTTTTTTTAAGCAGAAACTGGTTGTCAAATTAAACGATTAGCATCATTTTAAAAAAGTAACCTTTTTTGCCACATAGGAAAAGATTGTGCATGTGTGTGTGTTAGAAACAAAGATTTAAACCTGTTTTATAGTTCAGATCCTAAACTGTGGACTCCAGTTTGGGGAAAGGCTGATCTTCAAGGCTCCCACCCTTAGGCCTTAGGGCTGAGACGAGCCCAGGTCAAAGCCCGATAGCCAACCCAAGTCAACAAGTTCCTGTTCCTCTCCTGTGCATGTGTGTGCACACGTGTGTGGGGGGTCATTTTTACGGTTTTCTCTTTTTTTTAAATCTCATGGATTCATTTTTACAAAAGCCAACCCCTACCCTACCCCTACCCATGGCAGGGAAGCCAGAGTCACAGCCCAGTGACTTTCTTCTCCCAAGGCCACTGTCACCTGTTGACAGCCTTGGCCAGCAGAGGCGGGGCGGCCCAGAGGAGCCGGCTTCCCAGCTCCACGTGGGTTGGGCGCGGCCCTTGTCTGTGCTGTGGGCTTGCTGTAGGGTACCAGGGGTGTGGCTGTCAGGAAGGCCTGGGGGGTCTGGAACAGTGGGTGGTGGCAGTGATATGGACAGAGTTGAGGAAGACACAAGGAAAAGGTGGTTTGGGAATCACAGAAAAGCAAAGAAGATGTGAGCAGGCGAGAATGCCAAGAAGGTGCAGAGGAGACATTTAGCTATGGGGCCGGGTGGGGGGTGGCAAAGCCAGTATGTTTT